CTTTGCCAATGCCTTCTTGGTGCCAGACTCCTTTTGGTGGTGCCCAGCTACAGGATGAGGAGCAATGGCAATAAACTAAAACACAGGAAGTTTTATTAGCATTCAGGAACACATAATCACGGAATGATTATATGCAGGTGCTTTTATTAAGAGCTCTGGGTGTCAGGGGTAGACAGACCCAAATCTGACTCCGACATAGCTTCGAGCCGAACATGTTTTATATTCTATCGTTATATAACTTACATATTAATTATTAAACTTACATTGTTCTATTGTATACATTGATTTCATCCAAGCATGGATTTCTCGTGATCTCCCTCAAACCTCTAACATAGTTTCTCATTATTCTTTAAACAATAATTATATCTAATCACATCTAACAATTATATAATTTATCATATACTGACTACACAGGTGCAGTTTCACATGATCTAGCAAATACAAGGCCTAACTTTCCCAGGGCCTACCTTTAGCATTTTCCCAGGGCCTACTAAGCCTAACTTTCTTTCTAGCTCCCTGAATTTTCTGTGATTTTAAAATCTTTTTCTATCAGTCTCACCTCAACATGAGGAAAAACTTCTTTACACTGAGGGTGGAAGAGCACTGAAAGAGGCTGCCCAGGAAGGTCGTGGATTCTCCCTCTCTGGAGACATTCAAAACCCACCTTGATGCATTCCTGTGTCACCTGCTCTAGGTGACCCTGCCTTGGCAGGGGGCTTGACTGAATGATCTCTAGAGGTCCCTTCCAACCCTAACAATTCTGTGATTCTTCCCTGGAAAAAGATTCCAGCTGCTTGGCTTCTTACCCTCTAATTCCAAGCTGCAAGCATCATTATCCCAGCATTGGAGCAGCCAGGTGGTATTGTGCTCATTTGGATGACAGCTGAAATCTTTTCATATCTTCCACAGCTGGGTTAGGGATAGAGATTGAGTAGTGGTTATCTCCTGTTCTTGAGATAGCCCTGCTTCACCCTCTTTGCCCTCCTTGTCCTCCTTGTTCTTTATGGGACCAGATTACTTTTGTGTGCATTTCTTTTGTTTAGGGGTGACTAATACCTGCACAGGTTTACTTTCTGGTTCATCTGCACTTCACTGAAGGCTGTAGCATCTGTCACTGGGATATGAGTAGTCATCATGCTTGTTGCAGGGGTTAAAATAGCTGGAGTTTGATCATCCCCCAATACTGGTCACCAGAATTTGAGCAGCTGCAGTGCATGTCACAGGGACGGAAGTTGCCACAGTGCTTGTCACTGAGGTTTGAGTAGCTGCAGACCCTCTTCAATTCTTTTGAATTTCAGTGCTTTTCATAGGGTTTGGGGTGACCACTGATTGTTGCTTAACTCTAAACAAGAAATAAGCAGCCTGTGCTGATTCCTAACAAAAGGGCCAGGCTGGTTTCAAGGGCATTCAAAGGATATTCAAAGTTTTATTCTCAAATGCTATGGCAATAGGAAGGAAGGAAGATCTTTCTTCAATAAGCTGATTCCCCAAAGAAAAAAAGTAAAAGGTGTAATTATTAATTCAAATAGATGGCTTCTGAAGTACAGTGACAGCAATGTTGAGTACACACACCAGATTAGTATCATGGCCAGCAATTCTATCATAAGTCAGTACTGCAAAGAACAAAAAAATTATAATCTTAACCTAGGCTCAATGGAGGATAAACATCACAACAGGGAACACATACATCAAGAATGGTATTATATAATTGTCTTAGGTTAAGACAATTTTACAGGGTGGAGACTCTGAAATAAGTCACCTCCCCTTAGTTTTAACCTCTCCCTTTTCCACTAATAAGGAGAGATAAATGAAAAGAGATATAAGTTTAAAAATAACAGTTTACTAAAAGAAAAACAACAATAAATAAGAAAACAGCAATGCCCACAAGATACAATGGTGCTGAGCCACATGATTCCCCTCTCCTTCCCCTCAGTAATGATGGAAATGACATGGCAAATGAGTCTCCACGGTTCCAGAACTCCCTACCCCCAAACAAAAACAAAAAATGAAAAAAACTATTTTTGTCCAAAAAGAGTCAATGTTGGCAAGCTGCCTGGTCCATGACACCCAGCAGGGCTGTCCCAGGCAGTGGCAGTTTCACCACCAGTTTGGGGGTGTGTTAAAAATGGATGTGGGGGTTTAGATAAGTCCTTGCCTTTTGCCCAGGCCTCTGGCAGCAGGCAGTAGCTTTATTGAGATGGCCAGCACCTCAATACCCACTCTCATTCACAAGTTCTTTAATAATGGCTGATTCAGTCTATTATAGAATGAATTATTTCTTTAATAGACACAAAACTAATAGGCATAAGACTTAACACAGACTATATACTACACAGGAATAAGAACAAATAAAGAGACTACTAGTAGGTTAACATACAGTGCACAATAAGGTAGCCTTTTCAGTTGCAGCTAGTGAAGAAATAGTATAAGCTTAGGATTCAATGTATTTTACCATCCAATTGTTGGTGGAAGACGCTTTGAGATCCTTTCCCCCAATTCCCAGGAAAGTAACCACGGAATTTGCGTCTAAACTCCAGGGAGAAGTCCCTTATGGCTTCAGGGTGTGCGTGTAGAGGCTTCTACCTCTGTGATAACTGTGTGTACTTTTATAGTTTGCAAAACAGTGTCTCTCCATCAGCAATATTTATTTTCTTTATCTCTCTCCACTTCTGCTCTCCAGACTAAGATGTTGACTCTTAGTGGAGGCCTGATCCCTTTTGGCACCAGAGATGACCCCTTGCTGGGACTTTCAACCCCTGGGTTATCTTTTTCCATATGCACCAACCATCTGTGGCGGGGGGGGGGGGGGGTGGGTGTAGACATGTCCTGCCACAGGTTGATGCCGTTTGGTTTTTGCCTTTTTTTCTTTTATACATTCCCTGTATTCTTTGCACATATATTTGTAACTCTGTCACCTATTGTATTAGTGGCTAGTTTTCCCAGTAATTTTCCATGGCCTTTCCTTAGGCAGAAAGACAGAACAAATTCCAGAGCTTCAAGCTCTGGGAGGTGTAGGGCCCCTGTGCTATCTTGGTTCTTCCTGGGAACCAAGGCCGAGAACAACTCTTCAAGATACATTTTCATGGACAAAGTACAGCTAGTGCTGAGAGTGGACTCCAGAGAAGGGATTTGACCTGGGGGCGAGATTGCATCACCACTTGTCCTCCTAATTGGTGCTTTTTATCAGTTATGCTAATTTCCTAAAACCTATAAATATGTACTCATCCCTGTGGGGGCAGGTTTTTGTGGACATCTTTCCATAACTGCTCCTGGAGGCCTTCAAATAAAGATCCTCTTTTATATTACCTCCTTACTAAAATTATCTCGAGTTTAATTTCCAGGTTAGGAAAAAGGCAACAGGGTTGTGAAATACCATTTCTTGGGTGGCTGCTGTGACCTCTCCAGCAGTGGCAGCTGCGGGCAGCTGTGGGCAGGTGGCAGCAGTGAAGGTATTGCAAAATTCTTGAGGTCCTGGAGAGAACAAAAGAAAGCTCCACATTTCCATTTCCTGTTTTTAAAGGGACCCAGTATCCCTCCCCTTCCATGAACTGAGGTAAAACACAGAGGTTCTGCTTTCAATTCCAAGTCTTAAAGAGACAGTAAACCAACTTGCACAGATTGATGTAGAGAAGATATGGAATACATGATTTTGGGTCACCCCTAAAGCTGAACTCCACCTACTATCTCTGTAACTAGGACATTATCCACCCCTTATATCATATAATCTACCTCATGTCCAAATTAATACCTTTTCTAAATATTTATATATATATGTACATATATATAGCTATACACAAGCATGATTATTATTTTAGTAGTCACTGACAATCCCCAAGGATGTGGACTGAGTTCATTTGGTCCATGACTGATAAACCTGGAGCAGTCCATTCTCATTTCCCATGGTACTTATGACATGCAGTGGCAGGGCCATTCAGCAACCAGTGTTACATATGCAATTCAACATTACAGGCTGTTCTCACCCAAAGTCAAATCCCCCTGAGGTATACAACATGTTTGTTCATCCCTCTGCATTACTCATCAAGTGTTACCAGGTCTTTGAGCAAAAACAATCCCATGGATGGGTTTGCCTTTGCTTGAGGTGGGATAAATCCAAATGTCTTTTCTACCATACCTCTCATTTGCACCACAGGGACTTTATCTACGTCTTCTGTATGCAGGGGTTCAGAATGGGCAGGGCCAGCTCGATTAGTGGAACCTCTGGTGTTGACTAACAGATGGCCTTTGCTCAAGGCAGATCCCAATGCTTGAAGGTCCCACCTCACATTGCCTTCAGTGTAGTTTTTAACATTCCACTGTACCATTTGACTTTCCCAGGAACTGGTGCATGATAGGGAATATGATACACCCACTCAATACTGTGTTCTCTAGTCCGGGTGTTTATGAGGTTATTTTTGAAATGAGTCCCATTATCTGACTCAATTCCCTCAGAGGTGCCGTGTAGTAAACCCCATAGATTTAGGAAAAGCACCATGGCGAATATGAACAATAGGAATGCTGAAACAGCAAAAGAAAATTCCTGTTTCCCTGTCCTCCGCCCTTAACCTATCTCTGTAACCCTATAAGGCAATGTCATGTTAACCCCTTACCATTGGTCAAGCTTGGATCCTTTCCAACCCTATAAAAGAAGCATACTGTACCCCATTAGGGGAGAAAGAAGAAGAGCAGAGACCCTTCACAGACCTCCCCAAATAAAGCCATCTCCGTGGAACAGCCTGCGCCTTCTCCTTCTCCTCTCTCTCCATCTGCTGCAGCCTCAAGCCCGGGGCACCACTACCTAGCAAGCAAAGCTGAAATTCTAAGAGCTTGCAATCACTATAGAGCTGATAATCACCATGCTTGCTAGATGGTAGCCCCGCGGCGTTGGCATGAGCGAGCTAGCCTCGGGCACCCGGTCCCTACCCAGGGACTGAGCTCCTGACCCCTATTGCTCTGCTTTATTATAAGGCCAAATCAGAGAGAGGCTATTAAAGTGGCGCCCAATGACTACGGACTCCTGCAGAGGCGATATCCGTCGGTTGAGCAACGAAGCCCCCCCGGGGTTTTCTGTGATTGCCTGTTCGGGAAGCAGCTCCTTCTGTGAAGGGACTTTTCGTTTTAGAAAATCCTATCCCCAGGAGGGTCAGTTCAACACTCAAAACTTACATCTGAACGAGAGAAAGTTCCGAGGAGAACTGACGTCAGCAGACCCCTTCCACAGATCTTGAACCCCAGGAACTGTAAGTATTAGCTAATATTGCGCGCATAACTTCGGGGCTCTAAAACTTTTTTTTCATTTTTTTTTTCTTTTTTTTCCGCGTTTTTTTCTGCTGGAAGGGCTAACCATTAACATGGGTACAATTTTTAGTACATTAAAACTAAGTAAAATCGAGAGAGAGATATATTTAACTATTTTAGAAATCTTATCTGCTAACAACTTCTCCTTTTCTAAAGGCAAGCTCTCAAAAACTAACCTTAAAAAATTTGTAACTTGGATTATTTTGCAATACCCTGATACTGATAAGAAAGCAGTCATTGAAAATTCGTTTTGGGATTTGATCAGGAACACAATATATATCTCCCAAACAAACCAGGATTTCTCTGTAACTAATTATTTGCCTTTATTCCATATAATAACTAAAACCATTCAAAGATTTAACAGAGAAAAAATCTTGAAATTGGTAACAGACACTTCCTCTTCAAATACTAAGGAGATTGATAAGGACTCAGAGGAATGTCACTTGCATACCTCACATCACCCCTTAGGTCCTAAAGTTCCTCTCGCCTCCGTTACTCCTAAAGCAGAGGTTACGCTGCCCACCACGGTTCCCCCTCCCACATCCTCCACCCCTGTGGGACCTGCACTGCCTAACTCCGTAGATCCTCTCTTATCTGTAACTCCACACATCCCCCCTACCCCCGGCTCGGCTTCCTCCTTGCTTCCGGTCCCGGGGGTCCGTTTTCCTGCCTCTGCCGCCCCCTCCCCGCCTGCGTCGGCTCTGTCCCCCTCAGCTGTGGCCCCCCCCCACCCCAGCGCTGGTCTCCCCCACGACTCCTCCCGTCGCGGCGCCCGTCGCCCCCCCTCCCCCTGCCCCGGCTCTGACCGGCCCGGCCCTTCCCGACGGCTCCCCGAGCCACACCTCCGCCGCTCTCGAGTCCATACCGGCCCCCTCCCCCTGCTCCCTGCCTGCCACAGCAGGGACACCTCACACAAGCGTAGTCCCACCACACCACCCTGTAACCGTGGCACCCCAGATAAGTACCACTGCCTGCCCACTCCCACTCCCCCCATGCCCACACCCCCACCCCGCCCAGCCCCCCTGCCCCCACCACGCGTCCCCCCAACCTCCCACCCACCCTCAATGCCACCCAAACAGAATCCAAGAGACCCCTCAAAGTGCTACCCACCCCACCCGGTCCCGTGCGTGCTGTGCTGCGATCCCAGCTCCACTGGCACCTCCCCCTAGCCAGGTCATGCCATGTCTCCCCCCCCAGCCACTGAAACCTTTGAAAAACGCTTCTAAACTAAAAAAGCGTAAGTCACGGATAGAAACCCCCCCTCAGTCCTCCTCAGAGGACCAGAGCTCTTGCAGTGAATCTGATTCTGATACGATCCACAAGGATCCATGGGCTCTTATTAAAATAGAAGCGACCAAAGCTGGGGACTGGGAGCTGGCAAAGAAAATTAATGCTTTCCCGGTAGAATATAAGCAAGGACGGAATGGTGGCGAGTCCACTATAAAGACATGGAAGGCTAACTCGAATAAGGAACTAGTGCAATTAAGAAATATAGCCAAAGAACATGGCAGAAGCTCACATATTTTTAGAAATTTCTTAGAAGCCATGTTCTCAGCACATGTCTTACTTCCCCACGATATAAAAAATATTTCACACTGCCTCCTGTCCCCAGCAGAATATATGTTATGGGACAGGCATTGGAAAAGACATTTAAAAACATTATCAGATTCATATTCTGCGGATGCTAATAAGACGAATTTTACGGTAGTCCAACTAGCTGGTGAAGGTGACTTAGAGAAACCAGCAGACCAGTTGGAAACCTTGAATAAAGAGGCACTGCAGGATGTCGCTCTCGCAGCAAAAACCTCTTTACTTCTCATGCATGATGAGTCAATGCCAACAATGCATTTTTCTACTATTAAACAAGGGACAGATGAAAGTTTTATCAAATTTGTGGACAGACTTAGAGATGCTCTGGAGAAACAGATAGAGAGTACAGAGGCAAGGAAGGAACTCTTATGTAAACTTGCCTTGAGTAACTCAAACGAAAAATGCAAAGCCATTTTGAGGTCTCTACCCATGGATACAGACCCCACCATAGAGCAAATGCTAGAATGCTGTACACGTCACATGTCCACTGAAAATACAGTGGCCCAAGCAGTTGCCAAAGGTATTGCTGAAGGAGTTTCTGGGGCATATGCAGTAATAGCTTCTAAAGACCAAGCTAAATGCTATCACTGTGGGGATCTTGGACATTACATAAAGAACTGCCCAGAGAGATCACACCCCCGATACCACCGCAACAATTATCACAGACCCCAGAATCAGCAGCGTTACCAGCAGTGTCCGTTAAACTCCTTGCGCCGCCCGGTCAAGCCCCGGGAGCTGACAACAAATCAAAGGCCACCCAGACCCAACCACGCACCATACCAGGATGTTCCAGACCACAAGAAGAGGATCCAACCCACAGGGCAACCCAGATGGGAACCCACCAGCAATTGGTAACTGCTTTGTCCATTGACTTTAATAATGAGAATGTTCACTGTGTTCCCACAGGCAAATATGGGCCAAAAGGTGGTCCTTCCGACATTTTAATTATAGGTGACTCTCTTAATAGCCCAACGGAGATCTTCGTTGTTCCAGAAGTGCTGACAGTGCAGCCGGGACAAGAGATTCTCATCCAGGTATACTGCATAGACTCACCATTTTTTCTTTCAAAGGGAACTCCAATAGCACAAGCCTTTTTACTCCCAAAGGATCACAGGGAACAGATTCCTCTCAACCCTACAGCTATGTGGGCACAAGTCGTGGGACCATCCAAGCCTACCATCGAGTGCGGCCTCACCTGCAAAGGCGAGAAGACCCACCTACCAGGGATGCTGGACACCGGTGCTGATGTGACCATCATCGCCCGCTCAGAATGGCCCACACACTGGGATCTACAACCTGTTGCAGGCATGATTTCAGGGATTGGTGGAGTTACACTGTCCATGAGAAGCAAGAACAACATCCTCATGGAAGGGCCTGAAGGCAAGCTGGCAACCATTTGTGGTAAGGGCCCCCATCACCCTTTGGGGCAGAGACGTGCTATCCCAGTGGGGAGCTTCCCTATGTATTCCCACTCAGGATTTCTAATTGGGGCCACTGAGCTAAGCGCACTGCCAGAAACACCTCGTCTCACCTAGAAAAGTCACAAGCCAATCTGGATTGAACAGTGGCCCCTCTCTAAAGCCAAGCTGCGTGCCCTAAACACCTTCGTGGAAGAACAGCTCGCAAAAGGCCACATAGTGGAGTCCGACAGCTCTTGGAACTCTCCAGTCTTCGTTCTACCGAAGCCTGGGACAAACAGGTGGAGGCTTCTCCACGACCTTCGCAGAATCAACGAGGTCATCAAGGACATGGGCCCTCTCCAGCCTGGCCTGCCCTCCCCATCAATGCTGCCTAGAGACTGGACACTTGCTATCATAGACATTAAGGACTGTTCCTTCAGCATTCCTCTGCACCCTGAGGATGCTCCACGGTTTGCTTTTTCCGTTCCCTCTCTTAACAGAGAGGCCCCGCTCAAAAGATATCATTGGCGTTATCTTCCTCAAGGACTAAAAAACAGCCCCACTATTTGCCAGTGGTACGTGGCTCACATCCTGTCTCCCGTTCGGAAATCATTCCTCGATGCTATCATCCATCACTATATGGATGACATCCTGGTGTGTGCTTCAGACAAAGCTTACTTCGACAATACAGTTAAAAAGACTATTGAAACCATAGAAAAGGCAGGAATGGAGATTTGTGAGGACAAAATCCAGTACACCAAACCATGGACTTACCTTGGAGTCCAGATCCGGGAAAGGACCATCGTACCTCAGCAGATCACCATAAATGACGACCCAAAAGCCCTCAGGGACTTACACAGCCTTTGCGGATCCATCAACTGGGTACGTCCACTGCTAGGAATTACAACAGAGGACCTTGCTCCCTTGTTCAACCTTCTTCGTGGACCTAAGGACGTGGACTCTCCCTGCACTCTCACAGAAGAAGCCAGAGGTGCCATCACCAAAGTCCAGGAAGCCCTGTCTTCACACAAAGCCCATGGCTTCGAGCCCAGCCTGCCTTTCCAGTTCATCATCCTGGGAAAAGCACCTCGATTCCATGGACTGATTTTCCAATGGGACTCCCAGCTTCGAGACCCTTTGCTGATACTGGAATGGATCTTTACAAGTAGCCAGCCTACAAAGACACTTACCACCTACCAGGAGGTCATAGCACATTTAATAAAAAAGGCTAGGACTCGCGTTCGCTCTCTTTCAGGTTGTGAGTTCGAATGCATATACTTACCAATAACTCTTACAGACTTTGAGGATTTGATCCAGACCAATGAAAGCCTCCAGTTTGCCCTGGATAGCTACACGGGCCAAACTTCAGTTAAGATCCCAAAACACAAACTTTTTAACCCTGATGTAACCTTCCATTTGATTCCAAAACTAATCAAAAGTAGAAAACCTCTCAAGGCTCTAACCCTCTTTACAGATGGCTCAGGGTCTTCCCACAAGTCGGTGGTTACATGGAGAGACCCTCAAACACAAGATTGGCACTCTGACATACAAATTGTGGAGGGATCTCCACAGATCGCAGAATTAGCAGCTCTTGTCAGAGCCTTTGAAAAATTTAAAAACAAGACTTTCAATCTGGTTACAGATTCAGCTTATGTCACTGGGATAGCGATGAGAGCAGAACATGCTCTTCTCAAAGAGGTCTCTAATCCAAAGTTGTACCAACTGCTCTCTAAATTAATATACCTAATCTCCCACAGAAAGCAACCTTACCATATAATGCATGTGAGGTCACACACGGACCTCCCAGGTTTTGTTGCAGAAGGCAACAGGAAAGCGGATGCATTAGCAATGGCAGCAGAAACTGCTAATGTTCCTAACATCTTTGCCCAGGCAAAGTTGTCACACGCGTTTTTTCATCAAAATATACCTGCCCTTATGAGAATGTTTAAGCTCTCAAAGGATCAGGCAATCGTGGCTACATGTCCGAACTGTCAGAACTATCAGATACCATCTATGGGGACGGGAGTCAATCCCCGAGGTCTGAATAGCTGCCAGCTGTGGCAGACAGATGTAACTCACTTCGCACCTTTTGGAAGGTCAAAATACGTGCATGTATCGGTCGACACGTTTTCAGGAGCAGTATTTGCATCATCAATCATCACATGCAGGAGAAAATACCCTGCACACAATAAAACACTTTCTCCTCGCTTTTGCCGCCCTGGGTGTACCAAAAGAGATTAAAACAGATAATGGACCAGCCTACACTTCCTGCAAGTTAAAGGAGTTCTTCAATGAATGGGGAATAGCACACAAGACCAGCATACCTGTAAACCCCACAGGACAATCCATCGTGGAAAGGACACATCAAACCCTCAAAAGAGTCCTTGATAAACAGAACAAAGACACGAGAATCACATCTCCAGTGGAAAGACTTTGCAAGGCTCTCTACGTCATCAACTTCCTGAACTGTACAGCATCAGAGCCTGACCCACCAATACTTCGCCACTTTGCAAATACCACCCAAGCAAAGCTCACTGAGAAACCACCTGTGCTCGTGAAGGAACCTGAAACACACCAAATTTCTGGGCCTCACCAGTTGATTACCTGGGGTAGAGGATATGCGTGCGTGCTACTACCATCCGGTCCGAGGTGGTACCCAGGAAAAAACATAAAGCCATACCTAGGCACTGAGAACACTACTCCTGCAAACGGGGACAAGAACGCTCCTGAGGCAAACACAAGACCACCTCAAAACGAAACCAGCTCTGCCTGGAGACGAAGACGTCGCCGAATACCCACAAACCCAAGAACAGACCGCCCCATTACAAGACAGCAGACAAAACTGAAAGCTAAACAACAGTCTGCTGCATCAGGCCATAGATAGTCTTAACACAAAAATTTTCTCTGAACTAAGTGTTGTTACACTGGTTTTTTGTATTTAAAAACAAAAAAAACCAAACAAACCCCTGTTATTCCCTCTCCCTAACTTTTAAAACCCCTTAACCTTCTACCCACTCCTCCTCCCTTAGTGTAGCTTAGAAATTAAAAGAAAAAGGGGGGGAGGAGGGGAACACAGAAAAGAACAAGGCAGAAAACCCTCTCATCATAAAGATAACAAAATTCTGCTTATATTCCCTATCAGAAGCCCTATTCCTGCCCAAAGATGAAAAATATCTCCG